TACTACGGTTATATTACTATAGTATAGATAATGTAGTATAGATTATATAACACAATATTAAATATTTAATTTTAGATATATATCTTTTATTATATTACTATAGTATAGATAATATAGTATAAATTATATAATATAATATTAAATATTTAATTTTAGATATATATCTTATATTATATTACTACAGTATAGGTAATATAGTTTATATATTATATAACTATAGTATAGATAATATAATTATATAATATTATATTACTGTAGTATAGATAATATAGATTATATAATATTATAAATTATATATTATAGATTAGCCAGTATAGATTATATAGATCATATAATATCACTATAGTTATATTACTGTAGTAAAGACAATATAGTATAGATTATATAGTATAGATACATATCTTATGTTATATTATTATAGAAAATGAAATATTTTGTAGAAGTACTTGGCCACGAAACGGAAATAACATTTTACTAAAATGTTTTTGTTTTTTATAAGAAAATGATACTTTTTAGAAATATATTTTACTAGAATATATTATATTCATTTATATTCATATTATATTCATTATATTATATTCATTTATAAGAAAATGATATTTTCTAGAAATATATTTTCTAGAGAAACATTTTTCTTTCGTTTGACCCAGTGGAGAGGCTAAACATAACCTAATAATAACAATAATATTTAATAATATCTTTGGAAAACTAGTGAAATATCTCTTGTTGAAAACAAGTACTTGGCCACCAAACGAAAGAACCGAAATATTTTTGTCTTCTGAAAGGAAACAACGATATTCTTCAGAAATATATTTTACTGAAATTTTTCTCCCCAAGCAAAATGGAGCATATCTTTGGAAAAGTTTCCTTCGTCCGCCAGAGACTCTAAATAGAAATTTATTTCCTTCTGTTCACTATTATCGTTAACCACGCGACGAGAAATGAAATATAGAACGCGGGAATGGAATCCGGAGTTTTACCAAATTCCACGGTGCCACGCGTGTAGTTCCATTTCTATGGTGCGAGCCCGGAAGATGAAGGATAGAGAAGTGGAGGAAGAAAGAGGAGGAGAGAGAGAGAGAGAGAGAGAGAGA